GGGGGGAGCCTTTTCCCCCAGGCTTGCGGTGCCCGTCTGGCCACAGAGGAATGCTTTCCAAAAAGCAGCAAAGCCGCGGTACGGTGGGGATGGGCAGCAGCAAGCAGCTCTGCCCGTACGGTGCCTTTAACAGCAGCGAGCGGCACCCCGGCGCTGCCTAAAAATAGTGTATCCCCCCGCCCCATCGCGGCTGGATCCTGTGTCACGCCGGAGCGTCCCTCCCCAGTGCCGGGACTGTGGCCACTTCCCTCGTAGCAGGCCAGCTGGAGGGCTTCGCAGGCCAGGTAAGAGTGGGAGGGAGCGACCTGGAGCAGGGTTCGACCCGGCCTCCAAACCACCCCCAAGAAATCGGTGGCAGCCCCGGCAGGGCAGGTCAGGGCATGGGGAGGAGATACCACTGACATCCATGGACATAGAGCCGGCGGGGGGGTGGGGCTCCAGGGAGCGCTTCTGCCCCTGCTGGTGCCTGTAAATTGGGTGCTGGGACGGTTGTGCCGAGGCGGGGGGGGGAGGGAGATGTCATCGCTTTTTCCTGACAGGGACACCCTCACCACGCTCCACTCGGGCTCTGCCTACCGGCAAGGCCCCGCGGCCATCCCAGCGCCATGGTGAGGAACATGGACGACTTCGACTTCTGCCTGCCTTCACATGCCCAGGGTGTGCTGGAAGGGCTGCAGCGGCTGCGTGCCAACCCCAAACTGGCAGATGTGACGCTGGTGGCAGGAGGGCGGGAGTTCCCCTGCCACCGCGGCGTCCTGGCCCTCTGCAGCCACTACTTCCACGCCATGTTCTCCGGCGACTTTGCTGAGAGCACTGCAGCACGGGTGGAGCTGAAGGAGGTGGACCCCAGTGCGCTGGAGATGCTGCTTGACTTTGCCTACACAGGGAAGGTTACCATCAACCAGGGCAACGTGGAGGAGCTGATGCGGACTGCCAGCCAGCTCCACTTCCCCACTATCCAGAAGGTCTGCAGCCGCTACCTCCGGCAGCAGATGGATGCCACCAACTGTCTAGGTATCTGTGAGTTTGGTGAGAGCCACGGCTGCCCTGAGGTCTCCTCCAAGGCCTGGTCTTTCTTGCAGGAGAACTTTGAAGCCATCTCTCAGCAGGAGGAGTTCCTCCAGCTCTCCAAGGAGAGGTTGGCTACCTACCTCTCCAACGACCAGCTGCAGGTGCAGGAGGAGCAGAGCCTGGCTGAGGCCGTGCTGCGCTGGGTACGCCATGACCCTGGGTCCCGAGCCCAGTTCTTGCCTGAGCTGCTGGAGCTGGCCCACCTTGTCTCACTGCCCGACCAGTACCTTCAGAACCTGCTTGCCACTGAGCCCCTTGTACGTGACTCAGATGCCAGCAAGGCCCTTGTCACCCAATCCTGCACAATGGTGGGTAACCTCTGCCCCAAAACCCACCCCCTGAGCCACGGGGGGAGGCTCAGCTGGGAGCCTGATGGTCCTGCCCTGGCCTCTCGGATAGGGGCAGAGCGATGCCGGTGCCCAGAAGAACCCCCCAACCCCAGCGCAGAAGCTGGAGGAGGTGCTGGTGGTGGTTGGTGGCCGCGTGCTAGAGGAGAGTGAGGATGAGGACAGGGGGCTGGAGATGCCGGCCACCCACAGGAACTTTGCTTTCTACAACCCCAAAAGCAGTAAGTGCCCACGTCAGGGATGGGGCAAGTGCATACTCCCCCCCCGAATGTTATCTAACCCTCCATCTACCACAAAGCCACCTCTTGCTAAATGATCTGGTGTCAAGAGGGGCACGGGGTGGGGGGAGGAGGGGGAGGGAAGAGTGAAGCAGGGCTGGCTGGGGGGTCATTGTTTGGCTCCACTGGGTTTCAGGGCAATGGATGGCTCTGCCTGACTTCCCCGATTACAACAAATGGGGCTTTTCCCTGGTGTCTCTGAACAATGATGTGTACGTCACAGGTAAGTGCTGGGGCTGCTGGTGTGGAGTGGGGGTCCCCAGGGATGAGGGACAGAGATGTGGGCACGGGGTGCCTGGGGCCAGGGGCTACCCTCCCTCTCCTTGCTCCCTTCCTGTGTGGATCCAGCCACTGGCCAGGGATGCCCAGGCACGGCTGCACTTGGAGGGGGTGGCCCGCCTGACCCGCCCCTCCCCAGGTGGCTCCCGGGGGTCCCAGAACAACACGTGGTCGACGACCCAGGCCTGGCGCTTCTGCCCCAGGGATGGCACTTGGAAGCCCATCACCCCCATGCTGAGAGCCCGGACAAACCACACCAGCGCTGTCCTCAATGGTGAGATCTACGTCATTGGGGGTAAGGCCACAAAGACCCTACGGGTGCTTCTGGGGTGGGGGGTCTGTGGGTGCCCTGGCACAGCAGGGTGGCTGCAGTGTTCCACCACCCTGCAGGGACGACGGTGGATGCGGTGGAAGTGGAGCGCTACGACCCCTACAACAAGAGCTGGTGTGCCATCAGCCCAGCCCTCAAATATGTCAGCAATTTTGCGGCCGCCAGCTGCTTGGGCAAGCTCTACCTGGTGGGCTCATGTGCCATCAAGTACAATGCGCTCACCCTGCAGTGCTACAACCCTGTCCAAGGTGAGAGCTGGCCGCACTGCACCTCACCAGAGCCTTCCTGGGGAGCAGGACTGAGGGGCCCCCCCCCAGCATCCTGTGCCACCAGGCATGGTCCTGTGGGGTGCGACTGGGTGCTATCGGGGTCCAGCAATGGCTGTGGCATGGGGCTGGGGCCAGCCAGGAGCATGGCTGCTGGTGGCACAGACCCCAGTCACAGAACTCCAGCACAGACCAGGCCAGAGCTTCTGCGGAGTGGGATCACAGGAGCAGAGGGGTGGGGGAAGCTGCCCACCTTAGGAAGAAACTAAACCCCTGTGACAACACCACTGCCTTGGGCAGCCTCTGCACAGCCCACAGTGGTATCCCTCATCCCACACCACCACTACAAATTATATCCCCCCCCCCTTTTTTATGCAAGAGCCTCATCTGGGATGAGGACCACAGGTGCAATGCTGCCTAGCCACTCTGCCCTTCCAAACTCCCCCTTAAATAGCTGCAGACTCAGCAATGCTTTTTTCAGCCACTGACAGCTGCATCAACAGCCAAGGGTGGGATGCGCTGCTGACGGCTGCTCCTTGCAGATCTGTGGTGTGTGATCACATCCCCCTTCATCCCTAAGTACCTCTCGGCCCCACGCTGTGCCACCCTTCGTGGGCTCATCTACCTCATTGGGGACAACACCAAGAAGGTCCACATGTACAACCCGGAGGCCAACATCTGGCAGAAGGTAGTAGGATGTGGGGCCAAGCGCAATCACCCTCCTGGGGAGGTGTGGCAGCTGTTCCCTCCCTGCCAGCACCCCACAACCCTGCACCCACTCCCCCAGGGTGCCAGCACCACCTCTCCTTCCTGCCCACTCATCCCTTGGCTCTGTTAACCCCTGTAGAGCTGAAGATGCCCCAATCCTGTGTTCACACTGCAGAAGCCCACAGGGACCCCCTTTTTCCAACACCATCCTCCTACAGGGTTTGCAGGGCTCCTGACTGTGCAGTTGGGCAAAATCCTGCCTGTCTCCTCCACCCCCCAGAGCCCCCCACTCCCTGCAGTGACCCCAGCCTTGCTCCCTTGCTCTCCATAACATGGGGATGCTGCTAAAAGTGAGACATGGCCCCAGAGGCCCCCAAACCTCACAGAGAGGTCAGGGGGTGGCCACACACACACACACACACACACACACACACACGCCTGGTGGGTCGATGTCCTGTGCAGTGGGGTCCCCAGGGGATCCCTGCACATTCCATCCTGCCTCTCATGCAGGTGCAGCTCCTGCATACGCTCCACGAGAATGGTGGGATGGTGCCGCTGGGCGATCGGCTCTTCGTCACCGGTGGCCACTGGAAGGGCATCAACGGGGACTATCAAGTGGAGATGGAGGTGTATGACTGTGCCAAGGACCTCTGGACACGGGAGGGCTCCCTGCCCTGCCTCTGGCTCTTCCACAGCTCCTCCTCCATTTTCATGGACACCTCCAAGTGGACAGAGTCTTTCCAGGGTAACCATGGGTGGTAGGAGAGCCCACGGTGTCGCCCGCCATCCTGTGCAGCTGCTCTCCCCCTCTCACCTCTCTCCCCACTGCCAGTTCAGCTCTGTGGTGGGGGACATGTAAAACCCCCTGCCAGGCTGGCTGGGGTGTTGGGAGCGTGTTCTCCTCCCACCACCACAGGGTGAAGGCTTTTCCTTATAAACATGCTTTGGCTAATGCTCTCTTTTAGTTCGGTGGGGTTATTTTAAGAACTGCCTTTTTCCCCCTCCAAAACCCCAAAGCTTTTACGGTATTTCAAGGCCTCCGAAAGTGTGGCCCAGCCCCATCAGAGACTGTCATTGCTGCCTGGTGACATGGTCCCTTTCCCCATCACGTTGACACCCAGCATGGGGAAACATGAGGGAGACCAGGGAACTCTCATCTTCTCAATAGCCAAAGCTCCCCAGCACCTCGCTGGCCCACAGTGCAGTGTCAGACCCATTGCAGGGCCCCATGAAGCGGAGTGAGAGGAGATGAAACCAACTTTTGGATGCCTTGTGTGGCACAGCAGCCTGCAGTGGGTCACTTCATCCTGGTTTCTCTCCTGGGATGCACAGCTGAGAGGTGACCCAAGGGTTGTGGTGAAGCAGCCAGCGGCTCAGTGGCTCCTGGTGCCAGCACAGAGCCGGGCAGCACCCCAGCCACGTCTCTGCTGGTACCCGCTGGCAGGGGATGCCCCGGGATGGGGCGAGCACAAGGCGATGCTTCCCCGGTGGCCAGTCCCACCACCGGGCCGTCGTAGCGCTGTTTGAGGGTTAATCCGTTCAGTGTTAGGGCTTTTATTAACTCTTAAGCACTAAACACGCCCTCCGAGGAGCACTGTGGGACGCGGGGCCCCGGC